TAACCTCTCTCAATTCCAACTTCCTTTTTTGCCTGACTCCTTTCCATCTAGATTTTGACTTCAAACCCTCATCTATGGAACCATCTCAAACTAACCCAGTAACTAAAAACAGAGGTAAAGCTTTAGACGGGGTTCATGGTAGAGTTAATTAGAGCATTGACTTTGAAATGAGAGAGACCTAGGATGAATACAAAGAAGGATCAGACAAAGGAAACGAATGAGCCACAGATGTTGGATTCAAAGATCTTTCAGCCTCATCGGGGAACATACATAATTAGGATACAAAGGAGATAAGTGATGTAGGAAGTTCAGGTAAAATGTTAAGTGAGGTTAGAGGAAGAAGAGATGTCTGTAGCTAAGGAAAAGGAAAGGATTTATGGAGTAAGTGACATTTGAGATTTGGCTTTGTGTGATAATTCTGTAGGTATAGATATAAAGGATATTCTCTTTTGTTTTTATCCAAATCTTAAAAGATCTACAGCCCATTTGTAATCTCGACTGTCTTGCCCACGTTTTCTTACATTTTCAGAGCTGAAGCATCAGACACCTGGTTTCTCTCTGACTTCAGTATTCATTTTATAAAGACCAAGAAAACCTCACTTGTGTACTCACATTGCCGAGAAATGTAAAAGAATCCTCTGACTTATTTACAAAGCACTTTGCTTTCCCCCAAGAAGACATGTGCATAATTAGATGAATGACATCAGCTGGCCACCATCCTGGTGAAAATCCTCTCATTTGGGATCAGAGGAACCCCCTTTGTATTTCTTCTATAATTCAATGTGCTGCAGTTACAAACACTGAATGTCTCAAAGCCTTGGTGAGATAGCATAGCCCCCCCCACACACAAGCCACCCCCTGTCCCAGGGCTTCTTCGGGGCTCACCACAGCTTAGAGAAGCAGACACATGAAATACTTGGGGGCATTAAAGGTTTCCCATAGAATTGAAAGGTCCCACAATAATGGGTCCGTGATCAAAGGAGCGAGACTGATTCAAAGCGAAGGTCAAGCAAAGCTTTATTTCACACCAAGCATCGAGAATCAAACCGACCAGCCGGGGCTGTCTCTTACAAAGAGGAGACCCCTCCCTGCCTTACAGACTCACTTTTATAGATAGAGCAAAGTCCATGTGGTTGGGCCTGGCCACACACAGGTGGCCAATGAGATTGTAACACACAGAGAAAGCTGCATAGTCATGCTAGGTCACCCACAGGTGGCCAATTGAATTACAATTTACCTTAGTAGATTTTTGAACTAGCCTATCACCTTGGTCAGAATTGGCGCCCAAAAGGCAGGACCCACACTCCTTGGTTGCTAGGGAGACAGTATGTGCGCCCCACTGATTAGATATCTCCACCTGGCCAGACCTTCCCTTGTATCTGGGCTTTGTTACCTGGGACTGGTTTCTGGAACTTGCTTTTAAGTAAGTTCCCGGGGTGGGGGGTGGGCGGGGGGCAGGGTCAGTTTAAGTTTAACTGCATAAACAACAAAATCACTGTTTAACCCGATGGAATCTCTCTGGCTAAATAGGCCCTTGTAGAATAAGTCTTGGTTTTTAAAAGTGTAATCGAGGGGCGCCTGGGTGGCTCAGGTGGTTAAGCATCTGCCTTCCGTTCAGGTCATGATCCCAGAGTCCTTGGATCAAGCCCCACTTGTGGCTCCCTGCTCAGTGAGGAGTCTGCTTCTCCCTCTGCCAGCCACTCCTGCTTGTGCTCTCTCTCTCTGTGTCAAATAAATATTTTTTAAAAATAAAAGTGTAATTTGTTTCTTCTGAATTTTTCTCTCCATAGAACTTACCGCTGTCTAAAATGCTGAAAATCAATATATTCTTTAGCTTAGTTTCTTAACTTGAGCATATTTATTTCATATGGTGACTTCTTGATTACCCAAAATTCACTGAGAGGAGGCTGTTCTACCTAATGAAACTTTCTGGTTAACCAATGCTAAAAAGGTTTAACAATTAGTGATCTGATAATGATGAGGTTTTTTTAAGATTGTGAATCCTGTTTTCTATAAGATTAGTTATCAACACTCAGTGCTGACAAGAAATAAAGAGAGAAGAAAAAAACAAGAGCATCATTTACTTAGGGCCTAGAGCATAGTTAACCAGAACAGCACCTTTGATGTCAGTCTTTCCTAGCTTTGAATCCTGGGTTCACCTCTCACTGGCTAGGCAAGTTCATTTAAAATGTATCCTCTTCCCATGAATGAATTGGAATGACTTTGGTACATACTCATGAGGTTGTTCTGAAGACTCCACTGAACAAGGGATAGATAAAGAACCTGTCTCAACAAAAAGCTGGAAGCAAATTAATTCACCTGGTGTTGCACTAATAGACATTTTGCATGTTAATTTATTAATCTTTAAGGTAACCTATGGGGTAGTATTTTTATTTTTATTTTTTTTTTAAGATTTTATTTATTTATTTGTCAGACAGAGATCACAAATAGAGAGGCAGGCAGAGAGAGAGAGAAGGAAGCAGGCTCCCCGCCAAGCAGAGAGCCCGACTCGGGGCTCCATCCCAGGACCCGGGATCACAACCCGAGCTGAAGGCAGAGGCCTTAACCCACTGAGCCACCCAGGTACCCCTGGGGTAGTATTTTTAATCTGGTACTTTTATCTGTGCTTTAAAAATAACTGTTCAGACTTAAAACCTTCCTGAAAGTCATATAGTTCTAATTTGCAGGTTGAGATTTGAACCTGGATCTGAGCAATTTAACATTCATGCTTTTTTTTTCCCCCCTTAGTTTTGTGGGGTTTTTTTTTTTTTTTCGGTTGGTTGGTTTTGGGGGGGGTTGTTTGTTTTTAGTAATCTTTACAGCCAGTGGGGAGCTCAAACTCATGACTCTGAGATCAAGAGTTGCATGCTGTTCCAACTGAGTCAGCGAGGTGCCCCTATGCTACTTTCTCTGTTAGATTTTTTTTTTCTTTTAGATATTTCTTATAGCTCTCCTTTATTTCTTAAACTTGGAATAATACATACAAATTCATCTGTAATCAAACAGTATAGAAATAACTAATGCAACAGTTCCCCGTTCTTTAATACTATTCCCCAGAAGTAAGCAATTAAAAAATTTGTCCTATATGCTGACAAGTATTTTCCTGCATGTGTATCTATATATGTGTATATTTTGTAATTTTTTTCTTTTTTTTTTTAAAGATTTTATTTACTTATTTGACAGAGAGAGAGAGATCACAAGTAGGCAGAGAGGCAGGCAGAGAGAGAGGAGGAAACAGGCTCCCAGCCAAGCAGAGAGCCCGATGCGGGGCTCAATCCCAGGACCCTGAGATCATGACCTGAGCTGAAGGCAGAGGCTTAACCCACTGAGCCACCCAGGCGCCCCTTGTAATATTTTTCTGAAAAATTGTTCAAACCTACATTCTTTCAATGGCATGTAAAAATTTCTCTTTCTCTACATTATCAATATTGAATGTTCTTTCTATTCTCTTGTCCGTTCAATAGATGAAAGAACACTATATCTTTGCTTCAGTTTGTGCTACTTAAATTACAAGGATGAGGTTGAATGTCCCAAGATCAAAACTATTTTCTCTCCAAACAGTCCCACCGTATCTGTAGTAATGCCAAAATGGTGGTGTTTTAACATAAAAATCCAAATAAATACAATGTAGATACTCTATGTATCATCCTGTTCTCCCTTATGTACCCTCAGAAAATAAACTTCTGAATTAAGTATAACATTTAATATGTTACAGTTCAATTGAGGAGATACTGAATGTGTTTTGGAATTTTATTTATTTATTTTAATTTATTCATTTATTTGAGAGAGAGAGAACATATGTGCACACACAAGCTGGGGGAGGGACAGAGGGAGAAGATCTCAAGCAGACTGCCCATTGAGCATGGAACCTGACACAGGGCTCAGTGCCAGGATCCTGAGATTATGACCTGATCCAAAATCAAGAGTTTGCCACTTAACCACCTGAGCCACCCAGGAGCCCCTGTTTTGGAATTTTAATGGGCCTTATTCTTAAAGATGTCTCATTTATTTTAAATAAATATTTTTAGAATTTTGCAGAAAATAACTGTCAAGGAAACAACTGTCCATGCACTGGTTTACCCAGGATTTGTCCAGTGTTTTTCATGCACCAGAGGTAGTTTTAGGTACTTGGGTTTCAGAGATAAACAGGATAAATAGTGTCTTATCTCAAGTAGTTTAATCTTCACGGAGATAAACAAGCATCTCAGAAAGTTTTGGCCAGAGGGAATAGAAGTGCTAACTGGCTGAAATGTTAATAAATATTTGAGGTCTCAGGTGAAGGCTGCTAAGAATAAGACTGTACTTAGGTCAGGTTGATGCAGTGGCCCACGTTTGCCGTCAGAGTCCACTTTTTCCATCTCCAACTTTGTCATTCACAGTATCAGCTTCATCTCAAGGCTGGTTTCCTCAGGACTGTGGGATTGCTGCACATGGCAATTTGAGCTTCATGCTTTCTTGTTAATGTGGAAGGTGGGAGGGGACTTCTTGTGGTTCTTTTAAGACAAAGGAGGAACTGGAGGACCTTCCTGGCTCAGTCTGTGGAGCATGCAACTCTTGAGCTAGGGATTGTGAGTTCAAGCCCCACACTAGGTATAGAGATTACATAAAAAGTAAAAATCTTTAAAAAAAAAAAAAAACTTTTCTAGAAGTTTCTTTGTGTCTCATTGAGCAGAACTGGATCACATACCCACTCCTGACAACAACAGAGAACAACAACAACAGAGACTAGGGAACAACAACAACAACAGAGAATAGGGAACAGCTTTTTCTAAGACATATCCATAAGGTGCAGGGACAGATCTGGGTGCGGGGGGTGGGTAGGAGGAGAAGTTGTGGGGATGGCCTTCTAATGGAAAGGAGGAAGCTAGGAATGGCCACTAGAGAGGAAACAGTATCTACAACAATAATAAAATAAGCTATTGTGGTTGAGTATCTATATAGTTCTGGGCAGTGTGAGTGAAGAAAAACATCTTCATCATTTTCTTCTTAATGTGCCGTAGGATCAGAGTGGTACGGAACCTGTTAGCAGTGAGGATGATGGCAGTCTCGAAGTTGGTATTAAACAATTGCCTGAAAATGAAAGCTCCAAACTGGTGAGAATCCTCAGTGTTTTTCATCCAATGTTCTTTTTTAAAGGTGCATCATGTATATTTTGTACCACCATGGAAAGGATCAACTTGCATTTTATTTACTTCTCTAGAAATCTTGATCTCAGAGCTAGTAGAAGCTTTTCCATGTGGAGTGACCCATTAATTCCAACAAATAGAATATTCTGCTATTTTCTTCATGCCTGAATTGTGCTGTTTGGGAAAAAAGAAGCAATTTCTCTTTTAATCTTCTCAGTATGGCTTCTTTAAGGGTGTAGGTCTATCCTCAATTAGTCCATAAAGGCACAGAAAAAGATGTTAAATTTATTCCACTGATTCTTAGTAAAAGATGGTTAAACTCACCAAGGGGCTCGAGCATTAGAAGTGAGTCAGGTTTGTTTTAAGTTGTTTATTTTTATTATTATTATTATTATTTTAGTAATCTCTACATCCATCATGGGGCTCGAACTCACAACACAGAGATCAAGAGTCACATGTTCTTCCAACTGATCCAGCTAGCTGCCCCCAAGAGAGTCGGTTTTAGAGAACCCTCTCTCCTTATATATTTTAATGCTTAATATTTTATTTCATATTTATTCAACTTTTACTGTGTATTGGGTACTGTCCTGCGTGCTACATTAATTTCCTCATCCTTACAATGCAGGTAGCGATAACTTTCTTTTACACACAAAGAAACTGAGGGCTTATGATGTTCACTAACTTGCCAGAGGCCACTCACTAGAATGTGGTAAGACCCAGAGATTCACCCCTGTTCAGTTGCCTCCCATGCTTTCATTCACAATCCGTCTTTTTGTTTTGCAGCCTTATACTTACAGGGTTAGACTGCAAGTTCCAGAAAGAAATGCGGGCTTTTTTCTCTCTATTTCAAAATGTCTTACAAATCTCAAAGAATTATCACTTGGGAGGGTCACCCTGATTTTATGGCAGCACAGAGTTGTTCATTTTACTTCAGGGAGTTTGAGAAATCATTTATCTTCTTTCAACTTTTAGAAAATGTATATTGGGACTGTCTTAAATTCTGTGTCCTAGAAAAGAAACTGATTCTTTCAAGCTGAAGGGAAAGGACGTTTCAGCAAAAATGGAAATGACAGTGGGCTACTCCTGGGCAAATTGTAAATGGGACACAAGAACTCTGGCGTCAAAACACTGGGACTAACAGATTATAACCATTGTTCTTAAAGAAGATGTTCCAAGGTTACACTGTTCCTTCTCTAAAAGATAAACAGCATATTTGCCTTGGAAGGAGAGTGAGTAACATCAACAAAGTTTGAACTCAAAGCTCCTTCATTTAAAAACACTACGAACGTGGTTGTTTTGGGCACTGTATCTCCAAGATAGGTTAGGGGAAAGTCTTATAAAACAACAGGGTTTTGTAAGTAGGGGCCTACAACGCAGTCCACAGAAGAAATGGTAAAAAAGGGTGAAAACACTTCCTTGCTTGCCAGAAAAGTCTGGTAATCCAAAGAGATTCACTTGAAGGCTATAGGCAACCGCCATCCAATACCCACTTGCTGTTCCCAAGAAAGCAATGCCCAGTGATGGGGTTCCAAATGTCAAGACAATTGAAGGGACCCACTCTCAGGCACAGGATTTGAAGGACTGCGGGTAATTTATAGATACTGTTTTATACTGCATTTCACTAAAATGGAAGCCTTCCCTTACCCACTGACTGCTGTCTCTCTTTTTGCTTCCCCTCCCCTCCTCACCTCCCTCTCTTTTTAATATTACAATTCTTACTGTTTCCAGTAGAATCTATACATGGTCTACTTAAGGGAGGAAAGATAGCCTAAATTTAAACAACTTTAATAGATAAATACAAATGGCCTGCCATAAAACATTAGTCAAAAGTGTGGTCTTGGGTGAGTTACTTGACCTTACCAACCCGCAGTTTTCTCACCTGAGGAAGAAGAGTAATCAGGATGTTAGGAGGAAACAAATGGACTATATGATAATAAATCATGCAGTAGAGTGTAGGACAAATAGTTGGTGTTTAGCAAGTTCATTCATTAATTCAACAAATACTTGCTGAATGCCATTTGTTCCAGGCACTAGAGATATAATAGTGAACAAAATGTAGAAAAATGCCTGCTCTCAGGGCGCAGAAGTGGCACCGTTCATTAAGCATCTGACTTCATTTTGGCTCAGGTCATGATCTCAGGGTTGTGAGCTTGAGCCACACAGAGCCCCACATCAGGCTCCACACTGAGACTTGCTCATCCCTCTGCCCATTCCCCCCCCATAAATAAATAATTTTTTTTTTTAATGCCTGCTCTCATGGGGACTCTCTTCAGGATGAGTTGGGGGAGGAGCATAGATAATAAATTAGCAAAATAATAGATTGGATCATAAGAAATTGCCTTTTTTGTAGGTAAGAATTTCATATGGTGCAACCTGATGTGTTCTCTTGTTACAAAGAATTAATAGCTGTTAATTGTCACTAGTTATCATGATTATTTCTATTACAAGATTGGTGCAAGGGTTGCTACTCCATCCTAGGATTGTTGGCCAGTGCATCTTGTCAGAGGACAGCATGTGATCTCTGTGGGTCTTGACTCATTTCTGTTTATGTCAAGACAGTTGGAAACACTAAGCCGTTAACCCTCTAAAAGTTGCTTCCTTGCTGGGGTCATCTGTCTGTCTCATCAGGCACTATGCCGGCCCCTATAGGACTGAGCAGGAGAAACACCAGCCTTGCTCTTCAGAAGTTGACCCTCTAGAACCACTGAGGATAACAGAATTTGTATCTGGAAAATCATACATGCAGAAGTATAGTAGAGAGAGAGAGAAGAAAAACAACACTATGATGCGTGTGTTCAAAAGTAGAAAGAAGACCATCTCAGTCAGGGATTAAGGAAGGTTTCCTGGAATTGTGGCCTTTAAGGTAAACCTCCAAAGATGAGAAGGCAACGGACTGGTGAGGTTGGCATAGAGGAGGTTTACCAGTTGAGTCAGTGCGGATGATGGAGTAGCACATGAGTGTTGGGCATTTGTGGGACAACAATGAGCGATACAGTTTGAACAGTGGACTCAAAGAGCTGAAGGGACTATATGCTGTGAATTATCGATGAACTTATTCGTCTTCATGTGCTCAGTGCTCAGTCCATGTCCCAGTAGCTACATGGATTTGGGTAGACACAAGGTGCTACCTAGGAGAAACTACTTCAGAGAGCTGTTAAGTTTTTCGAGACTATCTGTTTCCAGAGCTAAGACTAAGTCATGGGTCAGCATATTCCATGACTGTTTCCGCTGTTCAGTCATGGTTGGCTTTGGTCCACATCTCAGTAGTCCCCAGATTTCACATCTGAGGGGTTTATAATAACTTCAGTGGGTATTGGGTTTCTCTCAAATATTTTTAAAGGGTGAATAACTTGTTTTTAGACAACTCATCAGATGATGGTTTGTGAAACGTAGATTTCAGTTGTGAGAGACTGGAGGCAGGGAAGTGTCTGGAATCTATTTCAGAAGTCTAGGTGAGAGCCTGTTAAAACTATTTTTTAAGCCTTTTGAAAGGAACTTTTAAAAAGCTATCTGCACAGAGCTTTGCGATTTGTAAAACAAAGTGTCATTATCTCATTAGCTTAATGTTTTAATATCTAAATTTTTTCTAAAATGATACTTTGTGATCTTATTCAATTTTATCCCCAAATAACCCTGTGTAAAAAGTAGAGCAGGAATTATTTATCCCAGATTTACAGATGAGACCTTAATCTGCTTAGCGAAGGATCACAAAACGGGAAATTGGAAGAGCTCTGTCTCATCCTGAAGGGGCTTTGACTCCTCGGTATCTTGACATAGAAGGTCATGAATCCCTAAAGTATTATCTTAATCTTTTGGATATCAACCTACTTTTTTTTTTTTAAGATTTTATTTATGTATTTGTCAGAGAGAGAGAGAGAGTGAACACAGGCAGACAGAGTGGCAGGCAGAGGAAAAGGGAGAAGCAGGCTCCCCGCCCAGCAAGAAACCCGATGTGGGACTTGATCCCAGGACGCCGGGATCATGACCTGAGCCCAAGACAGCCGCTTAACCAACTGAGCCGCCCAGGTGTCCCAATCAACCTACTTTTTAAAAAAGATTTTACTTATTTGAGAGAGAAAGAGTGAGGGGGAGCATGGGGTGGGGAGGGGGGAGAGGTGGATGGAGAGGGAGAAGCAGACTCCCCACCAAGCAGGGAGCCTGACGTGGGGCTCAATGCCAGGACCCTGAGACTTAACCGACTGAGCCACCCAGGCGCCTCTCAGCCTATGTTTTTATCATGTTGAGAGTATCTGCATTTATATAATATACTCTTTTGAAGCAGTATAACTAAATTATCAAGAGTACAGACATCGGAGCCAGACTACTTGAATTCAGATCCTGACTCTACCATTGACTACCGATATAATCTTAGGCACAGAACCTTTCTGTGCCTCAGTTTCTGCATCTGTGAAATGGGAGAAAGAAACCACAATGGTGAGACCTGAGGAGGGCCAGCTATCCAGTACTATGCAGAACCATGCCAGAGTGCACTAGAGTCAATGTACAAGGGTGAGTCATTAATAGCAATGATGCTGTTATTCCAATTAAAACATTTAGTGTTAGCCACATAAGGATTAGCTGTTGTGAGCGAAGCATTAGGTGTAACTTAAAAAACTGAAGTGAATTGTTCAGCCTGAAAAATCTAAATGCTGATCATAATAGGCAGTATGTATTGAATGCCTGTGTGCTAAACGTTATTCTAAGCTCATTTACGTAACAGTCCTATGAGGTTAGTACTAGTATTATCCCCATTTAAGAGATGAGGAAACTGAGGCACTGAGACACTAAATAATCACCCAGTGATGGGGAGGGGTCTGGGTGGCTTAGTCGGTTGAGCATGCAGACTCTTGGTTTCCGCTCAAGTCTTGATCTCAGGGTCCTGGGATTGAGCTCTGCGCCAGGGGCTCCACGCTCAGAGGGAAGTCTGCTTGAACAGTCTCTCCCTCTGCCCCTCTCCTCCTCAAATA